GGCATCGCTACTAGTAGTAGCTAGAAGCCATTAGTAACATGGGCATCACTATTCGTAGTAGAATAGCCACGAATTCTCACGAGTCGCAACGATTTCGTCGCTTTCGTCGCTCGCAGCGACGAACATCTCACGTGGCACCTGGCCGGATCGAAGTATGATTCGATCCTCGCAGAAGGTGACGGTGGAATACGTTGCGGCCTGGTCGCTTGGCTGAGCTTTTCCTTTTGAGGCTTACTTGTTAGAGTACTACGTCTTTCTACCCTGATTCTACGACTGCACTTGACGAACCACCTTGATTGCATCCACCAGCTCCCGGCGCTTGTCGCCCTCCGGAATCTTTTCAGCATGAGCTTTTGGAATTGTTATGACCACACCGTCGGGTGGTGCCTCAAACGGAAGAGACTTATTGAATGGGACATGAAGTGTTCACAACAAGAGTTTTGAAAATAGCTGCACAGTTAATGTCAACCTGAGTCTTGAAGGAGCACATACTTATTGTGGCCCTGAGGCAGCAGCTCGTTTTCCATCTGCTTCTTCTGCCTCGTGCTTGAGGCTTCGTTCAATATCATCCATTTGTGTCGCATCGCCGATCACCCACACTTCTTTGATCATGGGTGCCAAGACCTAGGTTGGCGTAGGCCAGTCATAGGCCTAGTGCAGTGGGACATGTAGGACGCCCTGTCCGACGCCCAGAACGATTTCAAGCAAGCTACAATGAGGTCTGCGTACCCAGAACGATTGCCGTCAAGGCTGCGTTGAAGCATTTGCCCAGATTGGCTGCTCCGATTGATGCGTTGCAGGATTTGGGGTGCTTTGCCAATGAAGTGTGGAGCATGTCTATCTTCCATTTGGACCTGGGCAGAAGCACAGCTGGAGATCTCGCTAGGCTGCACAGGGAACTTAGATTCCTGGCTCTTCTGATCTGCCCGGACTTGATTCGTTTGGCGTGTCGCGACCTTGGCACCAAGGCCACAGTCTTTCACAAACAAACCAAGCTCGGACACCACATCACCCTGAGGCCTGGACACAAACACGGCAGGACGTGCGTCACTGCAATCACGGGCCTGTGGCAAGGTGTGTAAATGAGCCACAGCAAAGGTTTTTTCTGACTGATAACTTCTGAGCGCCTTCTTGGCATCTAGGAAGAACTGCAACGCGCAATGATCATAGGCTCTACGCTTAATGGGATTGGACCTGACGAAAGCCAACAAAGAATGAAAAACAAAATATACCTGCATAGACCCCAAACAGTTTCAGCAGGAGCTGTTTGTGTCAAATGATTGAAATCCAATGTTGGTGGAAACGTCTGCAAGTGTGCATATATATATATATATGTGTGTATGTGATATGTTTTTTTCCTATCTCCTCCAGCTGCTTGGGAACAGCACGTAAACAATAACACGCCTTTTTGGAACTTCCTGCCACAAGAAAACAATCCCAGACAAGGCGGTGGAGCAAAGAAAAAAAAGGTGCCGGACAAGGTGGTGATAAGAGGGCCAACAACGCGGACAAACCAGGACAATGCCTGGACAAGGCCCGGACACGACAGGGAAGCAAGGTCCCAAGGCACAGCCAAGCAGGACACTCAAACCCGGACAAGGCCTGGACAAGGCGGTGAAGAAAGGGCAGACGTCAGGCGGACGGCGCGGCCACGGCTATTGTGGCCAACCCTTCCTTCCTAAGAGAGAACCCTGACAGTAAACTGTTTGGGGAATGCAGGACTCGACCAGCTTGCTGGTCGCATGAGCGGAAGCACTGGGCGCCCGGCAAGACCTGATACGCACTGACCACTGCACCGATGTTCTGATTGGAGCATCTTTGGAATGCTTTTCGAAATGAAGATACAACTTCTTCTCGTCGGCCATCACGACTCACATCTAGAACCTCGGGTGAGGAGCTTGACAAAAGACATTATAAGGAACCTAATAGCAATGGCCTCCAACCTAAGAGCGATGGCCTCCATCCTAAGAGCAACGGC